GACGTCTGAGAAAAGACAGAACATTAAGTTTAAACTAGGGCTTCACGATATTTGGAAAACCTGCGATATGCGATAACAGTGACTACTATTGCGATGACGATATTACTTGCGATAAATAAAAACTTTACACAGGAACAAAAATAATCAAAAACAAAGAAAAAAATGACTAAAAAAATTCATAAAAATGAGAAAAGCAAAAGTGTGAGGAAATGGAAAAAGAAAACGAACAAGAAGGCAATCAGATGATCCCGGGAAAAGCAGAATCAGCAGAAAGAGCAGAACAAAACTAACTCAGGTGTTTGCTAACCATCAAAATTAAGTGCCGTCCACCTCGTGGGGGGTGGGGGTGGGGGTGGGGGTGGGGGGGTCGTCTAACCTACACCCCATTAGCTCTATTTGATGTGTTAAAAAAACATCATGCTTCCGTTTGATTGACAGAATGCATTATGCGTGGGAAACATTTGAGCTGACCATTCATTACGATATTTATCTGTTCTTTGCTATATGCATGTTGCGCATGCTGATATGGTGATAACGATATATTAGCGATATATATTGTTTAGCCCTAGTTTACATCTCACTGTTGTCAGAGATCAAAGTCAGTGATTGTTGTTTTCTCTCCCCTAAATATCTGCTGTAGGAGACTGGTTGTCATTTCTGCTAAACCACCATTTTGTTTTTGTTAGTTTTTAAAATAAAGAAGAAAAAACGTTTAGATGTATTTTTCAGTGGGGTGTTGATATTAGTGGGAAATGATATGAAAATAAGTATAAATCGATCTAAAATTATTGCTGGTGCTTTTATGCCATTCTATTGTGGAAATTCAGACAAAGCTAACACATTGGCTTCAACTTCAGATTTCCAAATATTACAGGGCAATTCCAACCAGTTTTTCCACCCGTGATTATCTTTAAACTTCTCATATTTTAAAACTACAACATCTGGACCAGTGGTTCCCAACCTGGGGTTCGTGGTCCACTAAGGGGGAATTCAGCACATACAAGCACCTTGTGAATTTTATCTTGTAAGGCGCTGTACAAAAGGTAATTTCTTCTTCTTCTACAACATGTTTGTGGTGAGATGGTGAGGTTACCACACAGCCGAGGGATCCTCAAGGACATATGAGTGGGAACCACGGACGTGGACTTTACCTGGACCAGGTTCTGCTACAGTGTTAGCAGAACCTGCTAAACATACAGACTGTGATCACTGTCATCATGTCGACCAGCCAGGTGTCCCCGCAATGTGGACATGTCCCCACACCACTTAGAAGTTACAATGTGTCCACTTAAGCATATAAAAACAAGCACAAACACACACACACACACACACACTGTGTCTCGGACTCCGGAACCAACAGGTGGTCTCAGCGTTTGAACTCTGGCTGGAAAAAGGTGGAGGGGTTAACTGTACGTCAAAAGTGCCTTGAAGTGTAAAATACTGGACTCCATGGCAGTAGCTGTGGAAGATGTGATGGAATGTGTAGCTGTTGAAATGGAAATGGAAAAAACTAGAAACATTATAGTAGCCTGTATACAGGTGCTGGCCAGTAAATTAGAATATCATCAAAAGGTTGAAAATATTTCAGTAATTCCATTCAAAACGTGAAACTTGTACATTATATTCATGCAATGCACACAGACCAATGTATTTCCAATGTTCATTACATTTAAATTTGATATTTATAGGTGACAACCAATGACAACATCAAATCTGGTATCTCAGAAAATTAGAATATTCTAAAGGCCAATGAAAAAATGTTTGTTTCTCTAATGTTGGCCAACTGAAAAGAATGAACATGAAAAGAATGTGCATGTATAGCACTCAATACTTAGTCGGGGCTCCTTTTGCCTCAATAACTGCAGTAATGCGGCGTGGCATGGACTCGATCAGTCTGTGGCACTGCTCAGGTGTTATGAGAGCCCAGGTTGCTCTGATAGTCGTCTTCAGCTCCTCTGCATTGTTGGGTCTAGCGTATTGCATCCTCCGCTTCACAATACCCCATAGATTTTCTATGGGGTTAAGGTCAGGCGAGTTTGCTGGCCAATCAAGGATAGGGATACCATGGTCCTTGAACCAGGTGCTGGTGGTTTTGGCACTGTGTGCAGGTGCCAAGTCCTGTTGAAAGGTGAAGTCTGCATCCCCATAAAGTTGGTCAGCAGCAGGAAGCATGAAGTGCTCTAAAACTTCCTGGTAGATGGCTGCATTGACCCTGGACCTCAGGAAACAGAGTGGGCCAACACCGGCAGATGACATGGCACCCCACACCATCACTGACGGTGGAAACTTTACACTGGACCTCATGCAACGTGGATTCTGTGCTTCTCCGCTCTTCCTCCAGACTCTGGGTCCTTGATTTCCAAAGGAAATGCAGAACTTGCTTTCATCAGAAAACATAACTTTGGACCACTCAGCATCAGTCCAGTCCTTTTTGTCCTTGGCCCAGGCGAGACGCTTCTTGCGCTGTTTCTTGTTCAAGAGTGGCTTGACACACGGAATGCGACACCTGAATCCCATGTCTTTCATGAGTCTCCTCGTGGTGGTTCTTGAAGCGCTGACTCCAGCTGCAGTCCACTCTTTGTGGATCTCCCCCACATTTTTGAATGGGTTTGTCGTCACAATTCTCTGCAGGGTGCGGTTATCCCTAGAGCTTGTACACTTTTTTCTACCACATTTTTTCCGTCCCTTCGCCTGTCTGTTAATGTGCTTGGACACAGAGCTCTGCGAACAGCCAGCTTCTTTAGCAATCACCTTTTGTGTCTTGCCCTCCTTGTGCAAGGTGTCAATGATTGTCTTTTGGACAGCTGTTAAGTCAGAAGTCTTCCCCATGATTGTGGTGCCTTCAAAACAAGACTGAGGGACCTTTTAAAGGCCTTTGCAGGTGTTTTGAGTAAATCAGCTGATTAGAGTGGCAGCAGGTGTCTTCTATATTCAGCCTTTTCAGAATATTCTAATTTTTTGAGATACCAAATTTGGAGTTTTCATTAGTTGTCACTTATGAATATCAAATTTAAATGTAATGAACATTGGAAATACATTGGTCTGTGTGCATTGCATGAATATAATGTACAAGTTTCACATTTTGAATGGAATTACTGAAATATTTTCAACCTTTTGATGATATTCTAATTTACTGGCCAGCACCTGTATATAGAACACCTGGCTCCAATTTACAATGTTTTAAAGAAAGATGTGAAACTCTCATAGATGGATTAAATGACAATAAATCCTGGTTAATATGTGGAGATTTCAATATTGATTTACTTAACCAGAGAAACAAAATGACTAGAGACTTTATGGATGTGATGTCCAGCAGGAGTTATATCCTGTGATCACTCAGCCTACTAGAATCACCAGTACCTGTGCTACATTAATAGACAATATTTATACAAATGAAATTGAGAAGACAGCTAACAGTGGTCTCCTAATTAGTGATATAAGTGATCATCAACCAATTTATATAATACATAAAAATGTATTCAAAAAACCTAAGGAGTCAGATCAGATAAAACATGTTAGAATAAGGACGGAGGATGCTATAACAGCATTTTGTAATGACTTGTTGAAGGAGAACTGGAGTGGGATTTATGTGAAGGGTGTGAACGTGGCATATGATACGTTCTTAAACACATATAAATCTTTATATGATAAGAACTGCCCTGTAGTTGTCTGTAAAAAACTGGTTAAGTAGTTATTTGACCAATAGAAATCAATTTGTACAGTTAGATGATGAAATTTCAGATTCACTAGAGAATACACACGGTGTCCCACAGGGGTCAGTGTTGGGCCCTAAGCTTTTTATTCTATACATAAATGACATTTGTGATGTGTCCAAAGTATTACAGTTCATATTGTTTGCTGATGACACGAATATATTTTGTTCTGGAAATGATTTAGAAATTATTATTCAAAATATGGTTTGTGAAATGTCTAAACTTAAGTGGTTTAATGACAATAAATTATTTCTCAATTGGAATAAAACAAAATTCATGTTTTTTGGTAACAGAAAAACTAATGATTTAGTTACGTTGTCTATTGATGGTTTTGTAATTGATAGAGTAAATGAAGTCAGATTCTTAGGGGTTCTCTTGGACCATAAACTTACTTGGAAATCCCATATAAAATATATAAAACAAAAAATATCCATAAGTATTGGAATTTTAAACAAAGACAAAGGTTTTCTAGAAATTGCAACGCTTCAGACATTATATTATTCATTTATCTTACCATACTTAACTTATTGTATTGAGGTTTGGGGAAATACGTATAAAACAAACACTAATCCTTTGTTTCTGTTACAGAAGAAAGTTTTGCGAATTCTATATAAAGCAAATCCGAGAGAACATACTAACAAATATTTTGTTCTATCTAAAATTACGAAATTCAAAAACTTAGTTAACTTGAAAATTTTACTAATTATGTTTAAGGCTAGAAATAATTTACTGCCAACTAACCTACAAAGGTTCTTTGTTTTGATCCCAAAAAACGATAAGAGTAGAAAGAAACCAGAGTTTAAAAGGATATTTGTTCGTACTACATTAAAGCAAATGTGTATTTCAATAGATGGTGTGAAATTATGGAATAACCTGGATGATGAATTAAAAAAAATGGACAACTACTGATCAATTCAAAAAAATGTATAAAGATAAAATGCTAAAAATCGTATGATTTGGTGAGTTGAGGATGGAGGATTAATGTTTTAGTAGTGATGTTATTTGTGGAAGTAAGAGAGCGGTTTATTTTTTGTGTATAAGGCTATTTTGTACTTGTTGTTATTTATCTTCTTCCTCCCCCCATTTCACTCGAATGCTTTATTCTAATTTGAAGTTTGTATATTTAAACTTTGAGTGAAGTAAATTACTGAATTGAATCCAACCAGGTTCGGTTCGGGTGAACCCCACCGTGTCTGTCTGGTTCCAAAGTTAACGGCAGGTGAGTTCGGGCCTGCTCGGTGGAGCGGGGTTCGGCGGGCAGGTGTTTCGCAGGTAAAGCGGACTCAC